TTCGTACACCGCTCAATTTTGAATATTTTTATCCATTTCTCTGAATCAAATGGCCGTATCATACATATCATGCAAGGTTTTTTATATGATAATAAGCGCAAGAAAAGGAATCTAAAACTCAGTTTTAAGAACAATACGTTAAACACAATAAATTTGTCGGGCGAATTATGCAAGACAAAATTATTCGTACAGTATGAAAAATTTGAACAATTTTCATAATATTAATAGTCAATATCGTGGCGTCTCATTTTTATAACTGGAATTTTCTAGAATGCTGAATCTTACTCTGAGAGTGGGAGGGCATGGGCTTCTTCTATCATTCACTTCAGATCAGATACCGAGGCTCGTTTGCTCTCTAGTAAAGAAACATTAAATAAGATACTTTTTGAAGTATCATAAATGGAGAACTAAGAGACTATTTTACTGACAACCTATATTGCATAATCCTCATAAACTTTTAAAAACAACGCTGTCCAGGATTTCAAAAGTTTCTTCGTACCTGTTCTCGACACTGAATATTCTGTGTGCAAGAGAATCTCATGTTTTTGTTTTCTCTGAGATCCCGATATTCCAAATAAAGTAGATTGACAAAAGCTAAGAAACTGCAAGAGCCTGGAATTTGTAGATCTAGAGAAAACGTCGAATATGGAAGAAATTCTACCTTCAATTTATGGTTGCGCTGCTTTTGAAACTCGAGTAAGAACGTTATCATATCTATTAGCGCCATGACGGTTCTCCCTGAAAAATGTTTTCCAATTTGTGATTCAAATGAGATAATTTCTCACTGAAGTGTTCTGTGCTAATACATTATCAAGTTTCTAGCAATTTTCAAGAATGTATTTTATTTCTATCCAAACAAACAGCGAAAACACTTTCGCAGTAGTTTCACTTTCGCTTTCTAGGTTGGTTGTTTCATTTTACGTCATGTTGCCAGTTAATCTAATTTCGAAATCAAATTTGTTTTGAACCTATAAGCATTTATTTGATTCTCGAAGAGGCAAATATCCTTCGTTTATATTTGAGCATGTGGCCGAATGATTAGAATATTCGCATTCTGACCATGAGACGCGGGTTCAAATCTCACCATGGTCGGTTTGTCAGCAAGTACCGGAGGGGTCGATTCCAGCGTGTGATGCATTTTGAAAAGTATCTAAAAACCATAATACAGTTTGACCCAAGCCTTGTGAATGAAACTGGGTAAACGCAAGCCTTGGGGGCCGACAATAGCTGCACTAGCACGAAGTCACGGAGGCTGCCAGGATTTCCTTCAGTGAGTTTATTAAAAGCATTCCCACTCAAACCCAACAAAACTGGAAATACTGATATTTTTATGGGTCTTATTTCTTAGATTTCCACTTCAAGATCCCTGATTTTTTTTTTTGTGGGGGGGTTAAGCTACATTACAATGAAATTGTGTAGACGGGACCGTGGAGGGTATCGATAGCTGTTCAAGCACGAGGTCACAAGTCATCGTTGCTGAGGGCTTGAGCGTGCTGGCCTTGTTCAAATAGTTCATCTTCATTAAGATTTTTTTCAACACACTACTTTTTACGTGTCGATAACGAAGAGAATCGTTCAGGTTACAGAATGCAAAGACCAAGGCCATAATAGTCAGGGTAATGAGTGACTCATGGGTGGGGCATTCTGGCAGTGCTGGATTGTCTTTGTCTGGGTTTTGAATATAAGCTCAAAACCGTGCGAATTCAACAGAGGTTCTCGAAAAGTCTGACGCGCGATATGCCTCCCACACCCAAGTTTGTAAACAGCTAATACCACCCGCGGGGGGACGCTGAGCCAACGTGCGACACGCGTTCCTCTCAGTTCTGCTACTTTTTAGAATCCAAACTGCCAGGATTAATAAAACGAATACTAAAAGTAAATTACCCTTTTCGTTGAAACCTTTTTTATCAATAACATGGGGTCCCGAGACGACCAGAACGCAACATTCATATTTAGCCGTTGACTAATGTTCGATTATGTCACTTCAAGTAGAACTCATTTTCCGGGATTCAGTTTGTTTTCTTTTTCAGGATTGTAAGGAAACATAATACAATTGTGTCCTTGCTTGCGCATTAAGTAGAATTCAAAGACGCTGGTTACCATGTCACCAAATACCGCGTAGAAACTTTAGCTGCAATAGAATATGGATACTTATGAACACGCTTTCGTGTTAGACAAAAAATTATGAGTGATCACATTCAATGTATTATTTTATGAATTACACTAACGGCAAACTAGTGGGAGAATATTATAGAACAAGGATATATTATCCGAAAATTTGATCATATTAAGTAAAATTGAGGATGCGCGTTAGCGTGATAGTCATCGGCATGGAAAAGGAATTGTCGACGCGAGTTCAAATTCCGGCCTATTCTGTTGTTTTCATTTTCCCATAAAATAATTTGGGGAAACCATGAATACATTTCGTCTATCCCTAGCCAGCATAACACAGAAACACCCTAGGCTTGAGGTGGTGGGTGTAGGCTACCTCTCTAAGAGA